GACAAATTTTCTGCAGACTACTCTCTGGCTTTGTATATTTCAGATCTCTTTTGTCTTTCTCTAATCTGTTCTCCTCACACCTGTACAACCTCTGGACCTGTACCTCGGTGCCACAATGCCAGATGAGTTGGCACAGTGGGAGGTAGGAGTATCTTTGAAAATTATTCCTAAGTCATAGAGGCTAGCAGTAACATCAGTATACATGAAACTGAGTGCAAACCACGTAACTATGTCCCAATAAATCAAAATTAATTGTATCTCCGACTCACCTTCTCCTTAGCCAGATCCTAAAAATACAGTCACATTAGTGCTAACAGAAGAGAGGAAAGAATGGGAAGACAGGGGTCTCAACCAGTTGTAGCTTAAGAAGCTTGCTTTTGCAAATTTGACTAACACATAGGAGCCTATTGCTAGGATCCTCTCAGAGACTTGGAAGGGCATGTGCAAGAAGCTTAAGCAACATTAGCTTCACAATAAGCCCACCTCTGCCTGCATATAGTTAGAGTCGCTTAAGTGTTAACTATTATTGTTGGCTCTGTTTTCTGAGAGCCCTCCCCTTGTGGTGGCAAGACGTCTACCGTCAGTAACTCCAGCTTCACATCCTGCCGGGTTCTTGTCTGGCAGGAAAGACAAAGCACCTTGTTCAGTACTTCATGTACCAGGATTTCCTTCATACCAGCTTGAGTCATGAGTCCAACGAACCATGCCCCACAGGTTGCATTCCTGCGGCTAGAGATGGAACAACACTACCCAAACTGTGGGGCTGAGAGTGGGGAAAGGGGCTTCCACAGAGGGAGTTTGGGAAAATTAAAGGGTCTATGAATGTAGAACAAAAAAAATAGATGCTCATTTACTGTGGGTGTAGAGCAAACTCTGGGTGGAGAGAGTAGAAGGAAGAGGGAAGACCAACAAAGGAGAAGGGATGACAGAGATGTCCAAGATCCCTTCCAGCTTGGCAGCTGGGGTGGGCCCATCCTGATAGGTTAGGCAGGCATGTCCCTCCTCTGAGGGTCTCATTGGCCTGGGTGAGCAACACGCGCCAAACCCTGCTATCCCTGCCAGCCCTGCTTCAGACTGACTGCCCCCAAATCTCCTCTGCCTCTCTTCTGTCCTCTCACCCTGACCTTTGTCCTCTGTGGACCACCTCTCCCTGGCCCTACTCCCTAATCACAGCCTTTGCAGGGAGGCAGGGGGTGGGGGAGATCAGTAAGACTTAGGCCAATAACTTTGCTCTCCTGCTTTTTGTCCCTCCCCTTTTCAACTTTGAGTGTGAACCTAGTACAATCCTAAATCTCGGCACACAGTTCATTTCCTCTTGTCCTTGCCGAACTCTGTGGCCTCTCCATACACCTTCTCCAGTAAGGTGGCCACTAGCTACATGTGGCTGCTCTATGACACCTGAAATGTAGCTAGTCTGGAGGCACCTGGGTGGCTCAGTGGTTGAGCGTCTGCCTTTGGCTCAGGTTGTGATCCTGAGGTTCTGGGATTGACTTCCTGCATCGGGCTCCCGGCCTGCTTCTAACTCTGCCTATGTCTCTGCCTCTCTCTATGTCTCTTATGAATAAATAAATAAAATCTTAAAAATGAAATGAAATGAAAAGAAAAGAAAGGAAAAGAAATGTAACTAGTCTGAATTAAGATATGCTCTAAGTGCATATGGCTATATGCAAAAGAATGAACCAGGACCACTTTCTGACACCATACACAAAAATAAACTCAAATGGATTAAAGACCTAAATATGAGACCTGAAACCGTAAAACTCCTAAAAGACAGCATAGGCAGTAAACTCTTGGATATTGGTCTTAGTACTATTTTTTTTTTAATCTGTCTCCTCAAGCAAGGGCGACAAAAGCAAAACTAAACTACTAAGAAGGACTATATTGAACTAAAAAGCTTTGGCACAGTGGAGGAAATAATCAACAAAACTGAATGAGAGAAAATATTTGCAAATGATATATCTGATAAGAAGCTAATCCAAAAATAGATAAAAAAGAAATACAACTCAACACCAGAAACATGAACAATTCAATTTAAAAAATGGGCAGAGGACCTGAATAGGCATTTCTCCAAAGAAGATAATTCACATGGCCAACAGACACATGAAAAGATGCCTGACATCACTTGTCATCAGGGAAATGCCAATCCAAACCACAATGAGGTACCACCTTACACCTGTCAGAATGGCTGCTAGTATCAAGAAGACAAGAGATTACAAGCACTGGTGAAGATGTGAAGAAAAGGGACACTCACTCATGTACTGTTGGTGGGAAAGCTAACTGGTGCAGCCTCTGTGGAAGACAGTATGGACGGTCCTCACAAAATTAAAAATGGAAGTACCACACAATCTAGTAATTTCACTTTTGGACACTTAACTGAAGAAAATGAAAACACTAATTTAAAAAGATGCATGCCCACTTATTCTTTTTTTGCAGCATCATTTACAATAGGCAAGATATGGAATTAACCTAAGTGTCCATCCACAGAGAACAGGTAAGGAAGATGTGGTATAGATAGATATATATAATGGAATATTACTCAACCATAAAAGAGAATGAAATCTTATCATTTGGGAAAACACAGATGGACTTAGAGAACATTATGCTAAGCAAAATAAATCAGACAGAGAAAGAGGAATACCATGTGATTTCACCTATAAGTGGAATTTAAGAAACAAAACAGATGAATGAACAAATAAAAACAAACAAAATTGTAATACAGAGAGCAAACTGGTGGTTGGAGGGCTGGGAGAGGGGCATATGGGTGAAAGGGATTGAGAGGTATGAACTTCCAGTTATAAATAAGTCATGGAGACGAAAAGTATAGCCTAGGAAATTTAAACCAAAAGATAAGCTCTAAGTATAAAATACACAGTGGATTTTTAAGACTTACTGTCAGAGTAATATAAAATATCTCTTAATAATTTCATATGTTGGGCAGCCCAGGTGGCTCAGTGGTTTAGCGCCGCCTTCAGCCCAGGGCCTGATCCTGGAGACCCGGGATCAAGTCCCACATCGGGCTCCCTGCATGGAGCCTGCTTCTCCCTCTGCCTGTGTCTCTGCCTCTCTGTGTTTCTCATGAATAAATAAATAAAATATTTAAAATAATAATAATAATTTCATATGTCGACTACATGTTGAACTGATAATACCTTGGATTATTGGGTTAAACAAAGACATTATTAAAATTAATTTCTCCTGGGGCGCCAGGGGGGCTCAGCAATTGAGCATCTCCCTTTGGCTCAGGGTGTGATCCTGGGGACCTAGGATCAAGTCCCATATCGGGCTCCCTGCATGGAGCCTGCTCCTCCTCTGCCTGTGTCTCTGCCTCTCTGTCTCTCTCATGAATAAATAAATAAAATCTTTAAAAAATAATAAAAAATTAATTTCTCCTGTATCTTTTTACTTCTTAAACTGTGACTCTGTGGCTTACATGACATTCCTATTAGACAGTGCTGCTCTGACCTTTTCATTTTGTATATAACTTCAGCAACTACTGAGAGTGCTCCAAATCCCATCCATGGGCCCTTGCCCCAAATTAAGAATCTCTGAGTCAGAAATGTCATTGTTTCTACTAGGCTCAGGATCAACCACATTGTCACTGTGCAGATGGGGAAACTGAGCCCCAAGCTCTCCTTCTAGTCCAATCAGCTGAGTCCTGGGCCCCGGGCCTCTGGGGATGTGGGGGTGCCTGGCCCTACTGTACATGTGTGAAGGGCTGGGACTAGGGGTTACCTCATGGAAGGTGATGCAGCAGCTCTGCCTCTGTAGCTTCCCCCCGACAAGCTGGTGGTTGGTTCCAGATGAGGCCCCCATCACTTCAGGAGACGTTAATTCACTCCTCAGCAAGAAGTATTTCTCAGGACTCCTGCAGTCCAGGATGGCTCTGAGACTGGCCCAGGCCTTGGAGGATGGGCAGGCTCCAGGCTAGGCTAAGCCCAAACTAGGGAAGGGGACACAGACTTTTAGTCCAGAGAGCGTAATCCGGGGCTTTGCCACTCACCAGCTGTGCAACTCTGTGCATTGCTTCATGTATGCCCCACTTTGAAATATGCTGTTCTTCACAGTTTTCTACACTTTACATCAACTTGTTCATTAGATTTTACAGCTGGTTCATGCAAATTGGAAATATTTCCCATTCAATGATTTTTCACTTTTTCATAGACTATTACTAATTTTTTGTTTTTGGCCAGTTTTGTAATAATACTTTTTAGATCTATTTGTACTAATTCAGTTTCATTTGCCTTGAAAAACAAATCCTATTGTTTCACAACTGAATTCATGTCATTTCAGGAGAACCCTTAAAGTTGTTGTGGATACTAAATAGTTTAAACAGGTAACTTCACAAAGTTTTCTTCTGTAATATTCATAGTCTAAAAGTTCCCTGATTGGTCTCTGCTACATTTATTACAAAGTTTGCCATTTGAGTCTAATGGAAATCCTCTAAACTCCTCAGATGAGCCAAAGGGAAGGAGTGAGGGTATAGTTGAGGGTGAAAGGCTTAGAACCAGAGAGTCTAGAGCCCCCCTGTACTCTCCAAGTTCTGGTCAGGACATGCCACGGTGACTGCCTTTATTATGATACCCAGGATCCTGGCTGCAGAGAGCTGCCAAGGTCAGGCCTCTTGTCTGCTCTCATATGTTCAGCCCTCCTCACTAGGAGGCTTGCCTGGCTCAGGCTGGGGCTGGGCTGCAGGGTTTCCACAGTTCTGCCCCTACCCTGGCCCAGACCTTCAGCCTCAGGGGAACCAGCTTCCTGCCACTGCTCCTAGGCCTTGTCCCCTCTCCTTGCAGCATCTGCAGTCCTGATGCCCCATGTCTGAAAGGGGTGTTCCACCTGCGGGTCCTGGAGCCCTGCCAGGAGTTTCTGGAGATGCTGGTTGGCCCAGCCTCTTGGGGAAAAGGAGAAGATGCTAGGCTAAGGGAGTGACCCAGGGGTGGAGCTCTAACCTGTTTATAGGATCGTGGCTCCTCGGAGGCTGGCAGAGTCACAGTCCTATCCCATTGGAATAGTTGCTTCCAGCCAGCCAGGGAGCTGGCAACTTGGCAGGAGCTGGTCCTGGAGTGGATCCAGAGGGTTGGTATGGAAAGACTGACAACTAGGGGACCACCTGGCCATCCTCACCAGGTAACAGTGTCGCCAAGCCCATGGGCATCACTCAGGGCAAGGCCTGGGGCTGGGGTGCATTATGGGAAGCGTGACACAGTTAAAACCAAAGTGATTCTGGCCTCTGCAGAAGGCCCGGGTACCAGAGCTGGGGTCTCTGACAAGGCAGAGGTCAAGATGGGAGGCAGGGGATAAAAGAGTCTATGCTTGGGGATGGGGAGTGGGTGGGGTAGGTTGATGACCAGCATCCATAGAAGTGAGGGCCTGGGAGACCAGAGCCTACCCTCTCCTCTATGAGTGACCAGCCAGCCTCCCCCTTAGAGCCTCTCACCCTCCTCTCTGCAAAAGCTCACATGCCGCGTCAGAGAACACAGTGGCTGCGTGTCACACAAGGACGCCCCACCAGGCCCACAGTTCATCACTGCAGGTAGTAGACTTTCTGGAACTGGCTGGGGCCAAGGAACCACCCTGTGTGTCTCAAGAGTTTTGCCAGGCCAATTCCCTATCCACAGCCAATTACTTACTGGGCCAAGAGATGAGGCTGCAACCAGGTCAAATAAGTCTACAAACTGCTAACCCCACTCCTTCCACATGCTTCCTCTCAGCCCAGATTTCTCATCCTCTGCTATGGACCCCGGCCAGAGGGACTGGCTCTTCAGGTCTCTCCTGATGCCCTACGCAGTGCCATGAAAGAGGCTAAGTGTATCAAGCTCACTATCCTCATTCTCAGACTTTGCCAGGTTTCTGGAAACCCAGGCCCGAGTCAAATCCAGTCAAGCAGCTCCAGACTGGTGTCCCTGGAGAAGACTTGCCTGGCTCAAGCCAGGTACCAGGCAATCCTAGGAAATATAGAAGGGACCCCTCCATTGAAGGACAGCACCTGCTGCCCCAGCCCCTATCAGCCTGAGGTCTAGAGGATGCCCCCACCCTCCCTGCACGGCATCCACCCACCAAGGTGGACACCAGTGAAAACGCTCTGATGGGACTCTGGGAAGAATCCAGGGCTGCAGGAGCAGGGTAGTGGAAGGGCTGGACAGCTCTGGCTCAATCTGCTCCTCCCATCAGGGCTTTGAGCCCCAGAAGCCAGCTGTGGAGGTTTCTGCAGTATCTGTCTTCATCCTCATCTTCCTGGAGAAGTCTGGGCATCATTTTCCTGCTGCCCTCTGCCTGCCCTAGACCCAGCCCAGTGGCAAAACTGAAGCCTATGGTGCAGTGACCCTGGGAGCTTGAGTCTGCCCATAGGCCTGGAAGGTACCTTGTCTCCAGCTGATGTTGTTGGGACTGGTTGAGTCTCCAAGATCAGGACTTAACCCTCAGCCTTCAAGTGGGTTCCTAGGGCAGCCTCGGCAGTGGCTTCACCCAGCCCTTTCCTGCTGGAGCTGGGCTGGCAGGGCAGGCCTGCCATCTAGGACTTGCTCTGGGACAAGCCTGCTGTGTGATCCAGGACCATCAGCTCAGCATGACTCAGGAGATATGGGGCCTGAGGCTGTTCTTGAATTTTCCACTCCTCCTCCCTCCAACTTCCCCTACGACAGTGGGCCAATGGAGGCCAGCAGGCCGAAAGGCAGCTTGCTCATTTTTCTCTTTCTGGTGAAGACCCCATGGTACAGAGCCCATGGTCTGGACTCCTGTAAGGGGACTCCAGCCCTGTCATACTTGCTTGGGTCCCATCCCCTGTGATGGGCAAGAGCCAACACTGAAGCTCTACACAGGGAGGAGGCTAGAGGAGGCTCTGGGGTCCCTGCATTGGGAGAAAAGTAGCTGAGACTCTCAGCAGGAAAGTACTCTCAGGATCCTACAGGAAGTGGGGGGGGGGCGGGGATCCATGTTGGAAAAGCCCTCCCTCCATAGCATATAACATTCAGGATCAGTCATCAATTAAGGCAGTATTTCAGATGGGGGAGGGGCATTTCAACAGAGAAAGGGAAGCCCCAAAGCCTTCAGGAGAATCATATTAGTTAGTTCAATATTCATATTGGTCTAAAACAAAGCTGTGAAATTCTACTGTTTAGATATCTCCAGGGCACTGGAGGAAATTTGCCTGCTTTTACAAAGGAGCAAAATCCTGGGAAGGTAGAACAGCATAGGAGATGTGAGCTCTGGCCTTGACCTTTGTGACCTATGGCAAGCTGTCCTTTCTGAGTCTCAATCCTCTCATCTGTAAAATGGGAGGAAATGAGAGTATCACTTGTATGTACCACCTTAGGAGGTTGTCAGGAAGATAGATTAAGTTGGGATATGTAATCAGCTTAGTGTGGCTCCTAGAAATATGACAAGCACTGAATAAATAGTAATAAGAGCAATTATCTAGAAACTGCTTTTTTTTTTCTTTTTTTTGCTAAGCATTCTATAGGAATTAATACATTTCGCCTCTATTAACTAGTCCCACTACATTTGAGGAAATGGAGACACTGACAGGTTCAGTGACTTGTCAGGGTCACACAGCAAGTAAGCAGAGTACCAAGGTTAAGGTCCAAATATCCTGGCTGGGAGCTTGCCTTGCCCACTCCACTCCACCTCCCTGAGTAATGACCTGACATTGTATTTATTGTCACAGCCCATCCTGTGGTGCTCTGTGCTAGTGATGGTTTTAGAGGTGATGAGAAATGGGGCTTCACCCTGGGGAAAATATCCTGCCAGGGGACAATGGGTTTCCTAAGGTTGAGAGGCTTTGGTGACCAGACAGAGAAATGGACAATGATGCTCAAACTGGGTATGGTGACTGGCTGGGTAGGAGCAGCCGGGTGCACTTGGTAGCCCTGGGTGGCTCTAGAGCAGCCCACAGGCTATGGTCTGGAGGAGGGGGCATCTGGGCTGCCTCTGTCCTCCACCCTCCCCACCTCCAACCTCCCACCCCCACCCCACAGCTCCCTCCCTCCAGGGCCACAGGATCCTGGCCAGCACTTTCTCTGTGGCAGGCAGTGATGGAATCTGGGTGCAGGGAGGAAATGGAACCAGGGGTCTAAAAAGCCGTCTCTGCCATTTATGAGCTCTGGCTTAAGGCCTGTAGAGTCAAAACATTGCACTGGAGTTAATCCCCAAGAGGGGAGAAACGAGAATACTTTTGAGGGGCAGGGGGAGGATGCAGAGGGTTGGGGCATCACTAGTGCTCTACCAGAAAGTTGACAGGAATGATAAAGACACTCGGCAGGAAGGCGCAGGAGAGTGAGGCGGGGACCCACAGGGCACTAGTCCTGAGTGCCTCTGCTGGGGCCCATCGTCCTTTAAATTTCTCTATGGGAATAGAGAGCTGGTCGTGCAGACTCAGCCAGCCCTGTGCAGAGCCCGGGAGGGTTCCTGGCAGGAGACTCTGGGGCCACAGGCACGGAGGGGACCAGTGATTGGAGGGCACAGGGCAGAAAAGCTCTTTGGTTTAATCACAACACCGTGTGATGAAACCCCACGAGGCCCCAGGAGGCCACAGGTCTGTCCCACAAGCACAGTGCTACCTTGGTCTCTGATCACAGGGGTTTTCCATAAGAAACGTGTGCAGGGCGCCCAGAAAAAGCTACATAGCTAGGCCTCAAGAACAGAAGCCCAAGGCCCCAGAGTTCCAGGCAGTGGCAAGGGCATCAGCAGTAGGGATTTGAGGAGAGCCCCTTTGTGCCTGTCCCCAGAAGGACTTGGCACTCCCCGTCTGCCTTCCTTCTCCTTCAGCACCTCTGCTCCGTCTGCCCCCATGAGCTTGTGCCCTCGCAGTTTCTTCTTCCTCCTTGTCAGGCCTGTCAGTGGGCAGATGTGGCCTCCAAGGTGTCTGAATACACAATGGCTTCCTGTTCACCATAGTGGCCTGATGCTCCTCTAGTGGCCTGATGCTCCTGCGGTTTCCTGTTTCACACCCAAGAGAGAGGGAGTAGCTCAGCTTGCCTGCTAGTCCCACCTCCCTCCAGGGCGCTGGGGGGTGCAGCAGAGTCCTGTGCTTCACCAAAGGGCTGCCTTCCTTGGGAGCTCTGGGGGTGGGCAGGCCCAAACTGACATGTCCAGTGTGGTGGCCACTCCTTAGGCCCTCGTTTCCCTGCTTTCACCACCATGCTGTCCAATTCTGTCCCGGCAGGGGAGGGGAGCCCCACAAATTCTACCCCTGATTGGTCTGCCATGCCCAGAACCACGGCCCTGAGGACAGTGGTGGCAAAGGCTGGTCCCAGAGCTCCTGGCAGCGTTACTCAGCTCAGAGTGGTGGGCCCTGTCATGAGTAACAGGAGGGACTGAGCCGTCTGTTATTTCTCTACAGGGGGAGGCCTCTGCCTGCTGGCAGCTCACTGTGAGGGTCCTGGAGGCACGGAACCTGGGCTGGACTGACCTGTGTGAGTAACTATTTCTTGGGCTCCAAGGGTATAGTGACAACCCGGTCCTATGGGAAAGGCCCACCAGAACCTGGCGGCTGGGCTGGGCTGCCCACAGGGGCTGCCAGGGTCGTGGTAAGAACCTGGTGAGGCCCCTAGGAGAGGAGTGTAAGGATTTCTCTCTCCCCCTGGTCTCTTGACGTTGGCAGTGAGCCAGGCAGACCCCTATGTGACCCTGCAGTTGCCAACCGCACCTGGAACAAAGTTCAAGACCAAAACGATCACCAACTCCAGCCATCCTGTATGGAATGAGACCTTCAGTTTCCTAATCCAGAGTCAGGTCAAGGTAAAGGCCAGGACCCTACACTCAAGGACAGGCTGTACCCTTCTTTGGGAGCACACTCCCCTCCCACCCCCAGCTTAGAGGCCCTGGGGATGAGTGTCTCTGTTCCCAGCCTGGGTGTGCCGTTTGGGAAAGAATGTGGGACCCACTGTGTGGTTGTGAGCCTAACCTCTGGCAAGTTCCTGGTCCTCTCTGTGCCCATTTGTGGAATGGAGACAGTAAGAATACCTTTCTGATGGGGTTGTTATGAGGTTAAATGACATAATGCATGGAAGACTCCTAGTACAGTGCCCAGGACATGTGGTGCCTTGGGAGCATGTAGGGTACAGAGGTGAGGGAGGGCTGAAATAATGTTATTTTTATAAAAACAAAAATTAGCAGGGGGAGATTAGGAACTCTGCTGGATTTCTTTCAGTGCTTTTAAGTTTTACTATTATTTTTATTTTGAAGTACAAAGTGTGCAGGCCTAATGATCTTTTCTGACCCTGGGTATCAAGTAAAGGCTCAACAGGTATGAAGTATAGTAATGGGTAAATGAGCTAAGTTGCTGTTTGCGGGTCCCCAGAATGTTCTGGAGCTAAATGTCTATGATGAGGACTCAGTCACGGAGGATGATGCCTGCTTCAAGGTTCTCTATGACGTCTCAGAAGTCCAGCCAGGTGAGCTGCTCCGGAAGACCTTCTCCCTGTGTCCCCAGGTAAGTGGGGAGGTCCCACCCCTCTGCACCCCACCCCTCTAGGCCCCAGGCTGAGGAAGTCACACAGCTTCTCCCTTCCGGTGGGATGCTGCAGCCTAGAACTCTTCCTCAGCAAGAGGGAAACCCCTCCCTGAAATATTTGCATTTTAATAGGAAAGGAGAAGCCTTTACTAGACTGTTAAGGACTGAATCACTCAACCGAGAGCTTTTAGCCAACTGTGGGAGGAAGGTTTCTAGTGGTGATGAACTTAATGTCAATGGAAACACAGCTCAGTGTAACTAACCCTTGGGGCAGTTGGGACATGGCTCCATCTCTCCTGCCTCAGTGCCTGAGGCCACTCTATGAAGGTCTCTGCTCCTTCTCCAGCAGGTGAAGGCTAGGGAATGGGAGGCAGGGTTCTGGGGTCAGGTCCCCCCTCGAGAAGAATGGGAGAGATGGGCCCTGGGCATCCTTCAGCCTCTTTTGGGGGCACCTGGGTGGCTCAGTGGTTGAGCATCTGCCTTCAGTTCAGGTCATGATCCCGCAGTCTTGGGATCGAGTTCCACATCAGGCTCCCCTCAGGAAGCCTGCTTCTGCCTTTGCCTGTGTCTCTGCCTGTGTCTTTCATGAATAAATAAATCTTAAAAAAAAAAAAAGCCTCTTTTGGCTTGTGCTCTTCATCTCCTTCAGCCCTGCCAGAGGGAGACCTGTTCTCTGCAGACTTCTCAACTTGTGGGTAACCTGGGCAAGTAGCCCATCTTCTCCCCACTTCTCAATCTCCGCGTCAGCGAAGTGGGAAGAATCGTAATACCGCGCCCGCCCCGGGGACTGCTCGAGATGAGACAGTGCCTAATCCAAGAACTGTCAGCTCCAAAGATATGTGTAAAAGTTGATGACTTGCTCATCTTTGATTTCAGGGACAGGAGGAGCTGGACGTGGAGTTCTTGCTGGAAAAAACGTTAGTAATCATCACACAGCCCAGGGAGTGTCTCAAGACCCAGGCTTTACTGAGGGAAATGTCTTTGACCCAGATTCTCTGTCCCTTGTGTCTCCACCACTGGGGGGTCCTCTTGCAGGGATGAGGAGAAGGGGGTCACTGCTTCCTTGGCCCCACTCTCCCCCTCTCTCCTCACCTTGCACTCTTGAGAAGTACTTCCCTCACCCTGAATGGTATCTTAGGGTCCCTCAGCATCACCCAGGGAGGCCCTATGGGTGCTGGGGGCAGCTCAGTGCAAGCAGCATTTGCTGAGCTCCAGGTGTTTTTATTTTTCCAGGTCAGACTGCCCAGAAAACCTCATCACCAACAACGTCCTTGTGGTAACCACCCCCCCACCCTCCCCAGGCTTGTGAGAGGGAGCAAGGGACAGGGCCCCAGAGCACCCACTGAGGTGGGCGGTGCAGAAAGGATAGGCGGGGACAGGACTTTGTGGTAAGACCACCCCCGGGCCTCCCAGCTGGGTGGTTCCCTGGGGCTGGGGCCTGTCAGAAACATGGAGGGGGGGAGGCCCAGTCTCTACTGGGAGGAGCTTCTGGCCCAAGATCCAGTGGCTGAAGGACTGTCGGGGCAATTTTAGGTGCTCCTGATAGTGTTTCGTCACCTGTGATGGACTCCTAGTTCTTAGACTCAGAAGGTAATGAGGAAGCCACGCAAGCCGGGCCCAGCTGGGATGATAGCACTAAAGTAGCAGAGGCTCAGAGGGAGTTTCCAGGGCGCTGTGCTTCCAGCCTGGGGACTCTGGGTAAGAGGCAGGGGGTCAGTCAGCTCCTCCTTGAGATGGTAGAGAGTCTTGGTCAGCCCTTCTAAAACAGAGCAAACTCACAAAGCTGCAGTGGACAGGAATGGGTGATAAAGAATGCACTAGAAGCTTTCTACTCAGAGGTCGGCCAGCATCACAGGCATGATCTGGGGGAGCAGAGCCAGTCTTAATGTGAGATAAGTCACCTAGAGCCCCAAACTGCAGGAGGCCTCTGCCCTCAGGGTCGTACCCATGCCTGTTTGATGAACTAGTATTAGTTTCAATAAATGCACATTAAAATCGTCATACCTATGGCAGCTGCTTTTTATCTGAGATGATGAAGACCAGTGGTGGGTTGATAAACTCAGCAGGTAGATGGGAGAGAGTCAGTCAGGAGCTGGGTGTGCTCGGGCATCAGATGACATGCATTGCAGCGAATGCAGCAGGCTCACTTGGCAAGCTGGTCAACGGCAGGCCAGCGGGAGATACTCCCGTTGCTAAAATGTTAAGGGCTTCCCTAATCGTTCCATCATCCCGTAGACCCATGGTTTGCATATTACTGTTCTGGGAGCAGTTGTAAAAGGCACCCTCCACGCTGAGTCCACAGAGAAATGCAAGGAAGGCCAAACGGTGCCTGAGGGTTGGGTGGCCTTCAGAGATCCCTGAAGTTTGGCAAATCTTGGAAAGATTTGCTGGGGGTGTGCACGGGGTGGAGGTAGGGGTTCTCCTGGCTGCTCCAGAACATCTGACCTAGCAGTCGTAGCAGATTGGGGGTGGAGGGTGGTAATTCTGCCTCCCATCCCACTCTGGCCCCCACTTCCTGTTCTGTGTGTGGTGGATTTGGGACAGTGGGACTCAGAGGGTGAATTTGAGGGGACCTCAGCTTTCTCTGCAGAGCCCCTTGCCCATGATTTGGTCTGCCCTAGGCCCGAGAGCTGTCATGCCTGGATGTCCGTCTGGACAGTGCCGAGAGCACAGCCCAGGTCACAGGTGAGGTCTGCTCAGAACCAGATCCGGTCTCTGCTAGATGGGGTGGCTGGGAAACCTGTGCAGGGCAGAATGTGAGCAGCAGAGCTCAACCTCTTTCTTCTTGCTCACACAGCACAAAGGCAACAAGTCTCCTCTGGGCAGGAGGGTCCCCTGACCTGGGGGAGGGTGTGTTGCAGGAGGTGGGAGTCCAATGGGGGTTGTGGGAGGGCCCTTTCCAGAATCAGGTCTACCATGGTCCAAGCTTCTAGGTCCCAACCCTGTTGGAGTAGTGCTGCCAGTTTCCTGGGGTCTGGGCTCAGAGGCCTGGCTCTCATTCCCCTCAGGCTAATCTGCCCACTTGCTATGCTACCTAGATGAGGAGCAGCTGGAGCTGGAGCTGGTGCTGAAGGGGTCATATGAGGACACGCAGACATCTGCCCTGGGTACGGCCTCTGCCTTCCGCTTCCATTACCTGGCAGCCCAAGAGACAGAACTGAGTGTGCGGCTGAGGGTAGGTCTTGCCTTCGGAGCTCTCCTACTTAGGGCCAGCTCCAGCTGTCATGGCCCCTCTCAGGCCAACGCTATCTCCCCAAGTTAGGTGCTAAGCCCTTGGCACACAGGGAGACTCACTAGGAGCCCAGAGCGGGCACAGGGGCTGCTGTGCCTCGTCAGCCTCTGTTTGAACCTTTCAATGGCTCCTGCATCAATGCTCTTCGGATAAATGCCCTCTCTGTGCCTGCCAGGCTTTGCATGGCCTGGCCTCTGCCCACCTCTGCTCTGCTGCCTCATCTGATTCCACACTCCCCCCCTTTCACGATGCTCCAGTGTTTGTCTCTTTCCCAACATGCCAAGTGCTTTCTGTGTTCTGTCTCTCCTCCCAAGGCTGCCAGCTCCTCCTCCTCCTCTTCTCCTTCCTCCCCTTCCTCCTCTTTTAGATCTCAGCTCAAAGGGGGTCTCTTCAGGGGGGCCCTCCTTGACCTCCCACACCCCACCTTTGGTTATTGTATCATATCACACTGCTTATTTCCTTTACAACATTTTTTTTCCTTTGCGACATTTGCTAACATCCATTCGTTACCTATTTTGTTATAAATTCATATACATACCTCAGAACAAAAATATTAGCAAGTATTTTAATAATTAGCTATTATAATAATTAGAATTATAAAAATTGTAAGTGTTGTGATTATTTTTCTATTATCAGAGAGGGACTCTGTCCGGGTCACTGTCTAGATACTCAGTAAGGATTGGTTGAATGAATGAATATTTCCCTCCAGAGCTCTGAAAACAATGACTGGAATTCAGACAAGTCAGCTGGGCACCTCACTGTGCCCCTGAGGTCCTTGGCCATGGGGAAGGAGGTGACTGTTAACGTTCCTGTTATAAATGTAAGTGGCCTCAACTGCATGGGAAGTGCCAGTGAGAACAAAGATGGGGAGCCCAAGCCCCCAGGGGATACCCACATTGCCCCCAGGGTCTAGAATATTTTAACTTGATCTCTTGCTTTGATTTCAGACCCCAGGAGTGAGGCTGCAGCTCAAGGCTGAGGGCTGGTAAGGGACATCCCTATCTGTGGGGGACCGTGCAGGGTGGTCCCGAGGCAGGGGGGTGCTGTGGAAAGGATGGCCCCTGGGGTTGGGAGCAGGGAGGTAATTTGGCAGCTATCGTGGGCTTGGCCAGTCAGCGGCTGAGCTCTGTAGTGCCCCCTGACCCTTGGATCGTCTACTGCCCCAGCCCTAAGGAGCTGGCTGTGCGCCTGGGCTATGATTTGTGTGCCGAGGAGAAAGCTTTCCTGAGCAGGAGGAAACGAGTGGTGGCCAGAGCCCTCAAGCAGGCCCTGCAGCTGGACAGAGACCTACAGGAAGATGAGGTTTGGGGGTACAGGGGAATGTGGGTGCAATACCTTGGAATGGCCTTAAGGAAGTACCTGATTCCTCTGCCCTCTCCAGACACTCTTGTCAGCAGAGATGGCAGTGGACATGTGGGGGTGGGGGTAAGCTTTGGGGTTCTCACTCCCTTTCAGGTCCTGTCCAGGGATAAGAGCTGTCACTTGCTAGGGAGGATTGGGGTGCTATGTCTAACCCCGACTCCATCAGGCCTGACCACAAGGTCCCTTCCCTGGAGCCAGGAAGCAGCTCCATCCTGGTCCTTAAGCCAACCAATGTCTGTGTATGGTCCAGGTCCCTGTTGTGGGCATCATGGCCACAGGAGGAGGTGCCCGGGCCATGACCTCTCTCTACGGCCACCTGTTGGCCCTGCAGAAGCTGGGCCTCCTGGACTGTGTGACCTACTTCAGTGGCATCTCAGGCTCTACATGGTGAGGGCCCTGGGGACTGGAAGAGTAGAGAGATCAGGTCTCAGAGGAGATGGGGTAGACACTAGAGGAACCCTCTATGGTGGAAGCCAAGTGGGTGTGAGCAGTACGGTTTGATGGGTGCCAAGTGGCTTTCTCAAAAGGGAGGAAGTATATATCACAGAGGTCCTCCCGTGAGAGAGGCATTGTAGGACATCCATTCCACACGACAGAAGAGGTGTGAGTAAGGCAGCTGATTCAGAAGGAGCTAGGGTTTGAGTTTCTGCAACAGCACTTACTGGGCAACTTTATTTCCTCTGATTCTCAGTTGACTCATCTCCAAAATAGGTGTGATAGTAGTACATACTCCATAGGATCGTAGTAGGATAGCCCAAGTAAAACACTTCTACCTTGTCTGACATGTACCAGGAACCCCAAATTGGTAGCTCTTTTTTTCTTTAATCATTATTACCTCATTTAAATCCACATAACACTCTCTAGGGTAGTTTATTATTTACTGTCCCTATAGTATAGATGAAGAAATTTCGATGAAGAGATGCTATCTTACCCAAAGACAACACTGCCTCCCTATACCCGACCCTGATTATAATGAGGTGGGACTTTTCACTGTTAGAGATTCATTCCTTTGAGTCTTATTGAGATGTGACTTTAAGTAGTAAAAGAGGAGTAAATTCAGGGGACTTTAGGTGATGGCTATTGACAAGCAGAGTCTTTTTTTTTTTTTAATTTTTATTTATTTATGATAGTCACAGAGAGAGAGAGAGAGGGGCAGAGACACAGGCAGAGGGAGAAGCAGGCTCCATGCACCAGGAGCCCGATGTGGGATTCGATCCCGGGTCTCCAGGATCGCGCCCTGGGCCAAAGGCAGGCGCCAAACCGCTGCGCCACCCAGGGATCCCGACAAGCAGAGTCTTAAAAGGCTTCTTCAGGACAGGCCCATGAAGATGGGTGTAGGGTCTAGATCTGCTCTGTACAGTGGAGTAGCCGCTAGTCACATGTGGTTATCAACAAACTGAAATGTGGCTAGTCCAAATTGAGATGTGTTACAAATATAAAATTTGAAGACTTAGGTTGAAAAAAAACACATTTATGTTAATTTTTTATGTAGATTACATGTTGCAATGAGAATTTTGGATACATCGAATTAAAATATACTATTAAAATTAATTTTTATAGCTCTCTTCTTGCTTTTTCAAAATGTGGTTACTAGGAAATTTCAAATTACATATGTGGCTCACATTATATTTACATTGGACAGAGCTGATCTGAGAGAAACCCCCAAGACACATTTTCCAGATGACAGGGCCTGGGCTGCAGGAGCACCATGTTGGGAGAAGAGGGACAGTGGCAAGGAAGAGTTGCAGCGACCCAAGCTGGGCCTCTGTCTCCCACCATACTGTCCCTTTATTCTCCCAGGGCCATGGCCCACCTCTACGGGGACCCTGAGTGGTCACAGAAGGACCTTGAAGGACCCATCAAATATGCCAGGGAGCACCTGGCCAAGAGCAAGCTGGAGGCCTTCTCCCCAGAGCGCCTAGCAAGCTACCGCCAGGAGCTGGAGCTGCGGGCCAAGCAGGGCTACCCCACAACTTTTGTGGACCTGTGGGCTCTCGTCCTGGAGTCTATGCTACATGGCCAGGTAGGGCACCGATGCTTGCACAGCAGGATGTGAGCACACCAGCCTCGGGGCTAAGGCAGTTGCACCCTTAGCTATTGTGCGTGCGCATATCCTGCAGGGTGCAGGAGGCTGGGATCTGTGGGGAAAGGACATGGGGACCACAGTGTCTCAGCATCTGCTGTACTTTGGGATGCTGCCTTTTTGTGTCAGGCTATTTTTCACTTCATTGCCGTGAAATAGAGATTTCTGGATCTCTCAGGAGCTTAGGGATGAGTCAATGCCTGAATCAGTTAAGTAAACAAAACTTTCACATTTTGTCAGTGAGATTGCCTGAATATTTTTAATTTTATTAATACTGCAATATAGAATGTCTTCTTCTATATCTTCATGGTAGTGTTAAAAGCACAGACTCCAGGGGCACCTGGGTGGCTCAGTGGTTGAGCGTCTGCCTTCAGCTCAGGTTCTGATCCCGGGGTCCTGCCTGCCTCTCCCTCTGCCTCCCTTCTCTCTGTCTCTCATGAATAAATAAATAAAATCTTTAAAAAAAAAAAAAAAAAGCACAGACTCTGGAGCCAGATTCCCTGGATTTAATCTCAGTTCCTCTTACTAGCTATGTGTTCTTTTTTTTTTTTTTTAATTTTTATTTATTTATGATAGTCACACAGAGAGAGAGGGAGAGAGAGGCAGAGACACAGGCAGAGGGAGAAGCAGGCTCCATCCACCGGGAGCCCGACGTGGGATTCAATCCCGGGTCTCCAGGATCGTGCCCTGGGCCAAAGGCAGGCGCCAAACCGCTGCGCCACCCAGGGATCCCGCTATGTGTTCTTTAAGTGACTAGTTACAAGCTACTAACCTCTTCCGGACTCAGTTTTCTCATCTGTTCAGTGGCAATGAGTGAGAATAGTACTTTGATCTCACAGGCTTATTATGAGCATTCAGTGGAGCTTTGGCTTAGAGTTAGCATTGTTAGCTATTATATTTTTTTACTGTTTATTGTAACACGATGAAGACCAAACTGAGCAGAAACATTTTTTACAAATTGCTTCTTTAAGGAAAGTTTAGTAAGTCAATTGCTAAATCTTATATTAACTGATAGAATTATTAAAATCAGTAATTTTTTCTAGTATTGTTTTACCACATATAATTATCTGAACCTTTCTTTTTTTTAATTTTTATTTATTTATGATAGTCACACAGTGAGAGAGAGAGAGGCAGAGACACAGGCAGAGGGAGAAGCAGGCTCCATGCACTGGGAGCCTGACGTGGGATTTGATCCCGGGTCTCCAGGATCGCGCCCTGGGCCAAAGGCAAGCGCCAAACCGCTGCGCCACCCAGGGATCCCCTGAACCTTTCTTTTAAAGCATTTGGAACAATTAAAATGCAAAAAAAAAAAGTATCTTTAACATGCATAACAAATTAACAAATATATTAGCAGAGAAAAATATTCTTACCTTATCTTTGGGTGTCAGGAGTTTGACCAAGAAAGATTATCATGTAAACTAACCAAAACTGAATTTACTTTGAATTTTTTTTCTTTAAACTTTATTCTTGAGGCACCTGGGTGGCTCAGTCAGTTAAGCATCTGCCTTTGGCTCAGGTTATGATCTAAGGGTCCTGGGACAGAGCCCCACATCAGGCTCCCTACTCTGCAGGGAGCATGCTTCTCCTCTCCTTCTGCCCTCCCCATTCATGTCCTCTCTTTCTCTCAAATAGATAAATTTTTTTAAATCTTTTTAAAAATTTTATTCTTGCTGGTAAGAACAATGCTACTTGAAAATTACCAACAATTCTTATTTATTAGTTTAAAAATATTTGTTATAAAAGTAATATTTATTATTAAATGTTATAATAATCTTCAGATCTAAGAAAATGCATAAAGCGTAAAGAATAATGTAACAAATATGCATGATCTTACCAACCAGCCTAAGAAATAGTATCTTACAGAAAGAATTGAGGCCTCCTGCGGATGCCTCCCCAGTCCCATTTCCCTCCCATCCCCAGAAGTAACCACTACCCTGAATTTAGGTTTATCATCACATTCATATCTTCAGTCTATATACATTATCATATTATATAATACATAATGTATAATTATATGACATGCTTTATTTACCTTTATTATATATTTTATTATGTATACCTTTTATTATACATCCTTAAGAAAAATATGTTACTTGTACAAATGGTTTTGTACAAGTCTCCTTGTGCACAACTTTTAGAGATTCTCTGAGCCTTGAAGATACATACCTGGCAGTGGAATTGTTAGGCCATTGGGTACACACATCTTCAGCTTTCCTATCTGTTGCCAAATTGTTCTCCAAAAGGTTTCATTAATTCACACTCCCACCATCAGAGTTTCATAGTTTCTTTTTCTCTACACATGCTTCAGACTTAATTTTTTGTTCATTTTATGGGTGTTATACAAAATTTTATTGTAGCTTTCCATTTCCTTGATTTTTAGTGAGACCGATCATATTTTCAAGTATATTTGTCATTGGGACTTCCTCTTCCATGGATCACCTACTCAAATCCTTTTCCATTTTTCTATTAATTCATCTTTAAGATTTTCTGGAAACTCTTTGTAGAGTCTGGATATTAATCCTTTATCTGTTCTTCTGGATTTCTATGTATAATTTTAATATAATCCAGTGTATCATTCTTTTCCTTTATGGATTGTGCTTTTAGGGTCTTCTTAGAGAAATCTTTTCCTCTCCTAAAGTTATAAAATATCTTCCTATGTATCCTTATAAATGTTTTAAAGATTTGTTTTTCACAGGACTTCACTCAGAATATATCTTCAAATATTATGTTAACACAAATCCCAATTTTATTTTTTTCCATATGGATAGCAAACTTTCCAAATGTCACTTATTCTTTTTTCTCTACAAATCATATTACTACTTATGTCATATGTCAGGTTTCATATATTCATGGGACTTTTCCTGCGCTTTTTTCCATTCTAATGGGACTGATTTTCTGAACACGTGCCAATACTGTACTGGTTTAGAGACTCTACGTTTGTAATATATGTTGGTATCTGACAGGGCAGATTTAACCCCATCTTTCACCTTGGTTTTTCTCAGAATTATGTTGGTTCCTTTTGGCCCTTTGTTCTTCTATACGTGTAATGGAATCCACTAGTCAAGTTTCACGAGACATGTTAGAAATTTTATTCAGGGGCACCTGGGTGGCTCAGTTGGTTAAGCATCAGACTCTTGGTTTCTGCTCAGGTCATGATCTCAGGGCCCTAGAATCAAGCCCCTTGTATAACACCCTACTCAGCAAGGAGTCTGCTTGTCTCCCTCTCTCTCTGCCCTTCGCCCTCCTCGTGTGCTCTCTCTCTAGATTAAATAATTTTTAAAAAAATTTTTATTGAAATGGCATTTAATTTATAAAACCAGTTAAACTACTTGAAATGTTGTTTGTCTTGTTAATATATCCTATGTATTCTTTTGATCTACATTTTAAGCTAATGATGTTCATTTGTGAGGATATTGTGTTTTGTTAACGCCTTTTCTGCGCAGTGGAGGCAATTAGTTACTATAGAGTTGGGAGAAGCTTGTTTTAACTGTTTACTTTATGAGGTGCTAAAAAATCAGTTTGATCTGAGGCTATAGAGAAGACTTTTTATTTAATTGCAATCTGATCCTTCAGGTAGGACTTAATGCATGGTGTTATGCATAAGATTTATAGTCATTTTTAAAAAGACAATAAGGTTTTGATTCACAAGAAAAAAATCTTGTATTATTGAACAAACAATACATCCTTAAAGATGAATGCTCACATGGTTTTAAAATTTTTGTCTCAATATTAGAGCTTTTCAAATATTCTTTAAGCTATCATGCTTTATCTCTTAAAGCTAACATTCATTGTATGCTTTTTAAAATAATTCTTAAATCAGACAAATTTAGTGAGTATTTCCAATTAGTTTTCAGGTAAAAGCATTTATTATCTCTATTTTATGCTATTGAACAGCTCCAAAAGTCATTTTAAATGTCAGAAAATATAACTCCATAAGAAATCACAATGTTATTAATATTATTAGAAAAATAGTATACCTTGAACTTTACACAGAACCTTATTAGTCTACACCCTTCTATAATATTGCTTCAGTTTTTTTAAAAAAAATTGTTTGTAAAATATACCAGTTCTAATCAATGGTTCTCAAACTATGTCTTTGAAACTTTTCTTTAACCTTTTGCTGGCAAGTACTAAACTGCTTAGAAGCTGCTCATCATGCCTCAGGAAGAAACTTCTAGTTTTTCTCTTGTCTTTTCCTGAATTAAGAAGGTCTTACATGTTTTCCTTCAATTCTGGCCAGAAAGGTTTTGCCTTTTGCCCCCCTGCCCATGTAATGCCTAGACCTTGTCAAGGCATCGCCAACACTGCACTCAGCTTCTACACCTCAGGGAGTCCCTTGAGTCATCATAGTGGTACTCTGCAGGATTGTGCAGGGTTGGGGATGCTCATTTGGAACAGGACGGGGGGCTGGGGCTGGGGATCCAGAGGCCTGCCACCACTGGCGAACTATTAAAAGGAAAAAAGAAAACTGGGTATTATTTCAGTAGATGGAGGGGTGTGCTGACCCTTTACCCTGGGTCAGAAATGGTGCATCTGGAGTAAAAGGACACATTTAACCTCATCATATGTGTCAAAAGAGCAGGTAAACAGGATTCCTGAACAAAAAGACTTTGAGAAGATAAATTGCAGTTATTAATCAGGCTCCCTCCCTCTTCAGCACATATACACATTCATACCTGCGAGACTGACGTGTAGCTGACACAAGGTGCCAGGGGCTTGAGCAGTTGGGGATTTTTCCTGTAGGTACCACTGTAGAGCTGGCGGGCAGGATGACACATCAGTGACAGAGGGCTGCAGGAGGAGGAAGGATACTGGGGGATGCTGGGGCCTTGCCACCGCTATGGGAGGGGGACTCCTCATTGGAAAGGTGGGGCTAGAATCCCGGGACATACACTTGGCTGATCATCAGAATCACCTGGAGAGGTTGAAGAAAAAAATAGATTCCTCAGTGGCTTCTGCTGATTCTCAGGAGAAACCTAGTAACCTGTCTATAGCACATTCTATAGGTAAATCAGATAATAAGGGCTGATCGGGCAGTTTGGGAACCCCCTAGGTCTAGCTGCTGAGTGAGGTGCCTTCCAGTTGAGAGAGCCCAAGACAGGGATGGTGCATGTGTGGTCCCGCTCTATCTGAAGCAGCCAGGATCTGTGGCAGGCTCCTTCCCGAGGCAGGGCTCCAGGCAGCCACCACCATTAACCCTGCTGATGCTGGAAATGAACCCTATTGGCATCTCTGGTCCGCATAGAATGAGACCTTTCTGTGCCCCTAGAACTCTGGGAGGCTCTCCCAAAAGGCAAGTCATAGTTCTTGCCATCAAGGCAGAACCTTGAGTTTTACTGAAGAGAAAATTGGAAAGACGGGCAAGAATAAAACAATGGGGTACAGCTTCATACTGTGCAAAGCAGGAAAGGGGGGGCAGGCGAGGAGGAGGCAAGGATGCCTGGAAAACATTTCAGAGGGGTTGAGACCTGGACTGCATTCATGTGAACCTAGAAGGGGCAGCCCATCCCCTGACAGAGCTTACAGCGTATACTAAAAGGGGATTCTTGTCCTTTCTGGAAAGCGATACGTGTGTGTGCATGTGTGCCTTTGTGGCTGTGCATCAGGTTCCACATCCCCTCCACCCTTCAGCCCCAAAAGATGGGCCATGCACCACAGGAACAGAGGTGGAGTGTCACTGTTGACACTGTAGTCCTTGTGAATGGCATTCTCTTGAGATATGCAGTGTGCAACCTCTGTAGGCCTACATGGTGACCCTGCATCTGGTCAGAATATGGGGGTGGGAGTGGGAACCGGATGGGTGCACCCACCCATGCCACCCAAATTCCAATGGTGAGCTGCCTCCTCACGCTCAGCCTGTGTCCCCCCCCCCCCAAGTCCTGGTAGGGTTGCTGCCTCTAGGGTGCTCCCAACCACACCTAGAGCCTCATGCCTCCCACCCCAGGTGATGGATCAGAAGCTGTCGGAACAGAGAGCAGCACTGGAGCAGGGCCAGAACCCTCTGCCCCTCTACTTGAGCCTCAATGTCAAAGAGAACGATCTGGAGACCCTCGACTTCAAGGGTACAGTCTTTAGTCCCACCCACGTAACCCTCCAACACACACATACTCATATGGACACCCACACATACATGCCTCCTGTGCACCCCACTGGTTTTCAGAGAATTCAAGCAGCAAACTCCTGACAGATCGCTCAGCCTTCTGGAAGGGAGGCAGTTCTGATGGACAGATGAGGCAGGCAGCAGAGCTCACTGTCCTGGTGGTGTGGGTGCTAGGGGGGAGTGGTCAGCCCAGGAGTCAGCCAGGCAGGGAGGAGGCTGGGGCCTGCGGGGGTGGGCAGTGTCTTTGGCCCCTGTCAGAGCTGGAGCTCCCCCCAGCCCACTCTCCTCTCATCCTGCCTCTTGCCTCTGGTCCATAGAGTGGGTGGAGTTCTCCCCCTATGAGGTCGGGTTCCCGAAGTACGGAGCCTTTGTCCCTACGGAGCTCTTTGGCTCCGAGTTCTTCATGGGGCGGCTGATGAGGAGGCTCCCGGAGTCCCGCATCTGCTTTCTGGAAGGTGAGTGGTGGTTACTCCCAAGATTCTGGCCAGTCCTGAGCCAGGCTCCCTTGACTGCGCACGGTTCCTGCTCTCCGGTGCGGCAGGCCCCGGGGCAGGGGCCTCTGGGCCTGGGCGCTGCTGGGGTTGGGCCTTGGGGAAGAGCCATTGCAGGAGCAGCCCACCTGCCTCCCATCTTCCACCCGGCCCTCGGCCCTCGGGGGTGATGGGAAGTGGAGTGCTGAGGCCTGAGGTTGACTTCCGGGGGTGGTTGGCCTTCAGGTATCTGGAGCAACATTTTCTCCCTGAACTTGCTGGATGCCTGGTACGACCTCACCAACTCTGGTGACACCTGGAAGCAGCACATCAAGGACAAGATCAGGAACCTGGGTAAGAAGTGGGTTGGGAGGGGAGCCTGGAATGAAGCCACTTCCTCTTCAGATGCTTGGGGGAGGGGCGCTATCAGAGGGGAGGCAGGCCCAGGCATTTCAGGGCCTTTCACTGGACCAGTGTCTTTCTCTGAGCCCAGAGGAGTCTCCTGCCTCCTTGACGACCTCCTCATGGCTGTCGGCCTCATGGCTGGAACCTGGAACGGCCCTGGCCAAGGCATTTAAGGGCTTCCTGACAAGCAGGCCACTCTACCAGCACAGCTGCAACTTCCTCCGGGGCCTCCAACTGCACCAGGATTATTGTAGCCACAAAGATTTCTCCACTTGGGCAGGTAAGGGCCCCTGTCCTGTATCCCTAGGTAACAAGCTTGGGCTCCTGGTGGGGGTTGGGGGATGGACCATGGTTAGGACTGGCAGAGGACTTGGGGGTGCCAAAGCATCCCCTTCTGGGTTGGCCAGCAGAGGGTCTTGGGAGGGGCTGAGTGGCATGTGCATGCAGAGAGTGACACCAGAGGTCAGAAGGAGACTTGGAAGCAAATGCAGTCGGAGTCGTAGATGATCTGTGGCGGAGTGGCTGCCCCTGACTGCCACTGCCTCCTCCATCAGACTGCCAGGTAGACTCCACCCCTGGCCAGCTGACCCCTCAGGAGCCCGGCTCTGCCTGGTAGATGTTGGCTACTTCCTCAACACTAGCTGTCCCTCCATGTTCCGGCCAGGCCGAAGGCTGGACCTCATACTCTCCTTGGATTACTCCCTCTCCGCACCCTTTGAGGTGGGTCTGGTTGCCCCCTGGGAACCCCAGACATTCTGCAGGCCAGGCCATGCTGCAGGGCTCTTGGGTCCCCACAGGGAGAGAAGGGAGACAGGCTCCTGTCAGAGTCCTTGGTTGGGAGGAGTTGTGGGAATGCTGGGGCCCTGGGCTTCCAGGACAGGTGGGCAGGGAGGAAGCAGGACACACCCACCCCAAGAAGAACTGCTAGATGAAGCTGGGAGGAGCCCCTGGCTTGCCCACATCCATCCCCTCAAATCTTCCCTGGGGACTTAGGAGCCAGGGCGGTGGGGGTGGGGGTGGGCAGTGAGGGGAGGATAGGGTCCTGGTACAGAAGTGGGTCCCCTACTGAGGCCCTCTAGGCTATAGGATTTGAATAACCTAGCAACAGAATCCCAAATGGGAGCAGGAGTGCTAGGTCTGTACCCCTCACCTAAAGATTTTGACCAAACAACATTGCAGACCACTGGAATCCTTCACCTCCCTCTGAGGCACCGTGTATCTTAGCTGGTCACACACAGGTCAGGACCACGTTGTCTCAACACTGAGCAGTCAGTTTGGGCTAGAGCTATCGTAGCACTTTCTTTCTTTCTTTTTTTATATAAATTTATTTTTTATTGGTGTTCAATTTGCCAACATATAGAATAACACCCAGTGCTCATCCTATCAAGTGCCCCCCTCAGTGCCCATCGCCCAGTCATCTCCACCCCCTGCCCACCTCCCCTTCCACCACCCCTAGTTCGTTTCCCAGAGTTAGGAGTCTCTCATGTTCTGTCTCCCTTTCTGGTATTTCCCACTCATTTTTTCTCCTTTCCCCTTTATTCCCTTTCACTATTGTTTATATTCCCCAAATGAATGAAACCATATAATGTTTGTCCTTCTCCGATTGACTTACTTCACTCAGCATAATACCCTCCAGTTCCATCCATGTCGAAGCAAATGGTGGGTATTTGTGGTTTCTAATGGCTGAGGAATATTCACTTTCTAGAGCACTGACCTGAGATGACCAGGAAGTAGCTGGTTCTCTCTGGGCTCCCCTCTCCCCAACCAGGCCCTGCAGCAGACTGAGCTATACTGCCGGGCCCTGGGACTGCCATTCCCTCGAGTGGACCCCAGCCCTCAGGACCAACGCCAGCCGACAGAGTGCCACCTCTTCTCGGACCCCACCTGCCCTGATGCCCCTGTCCTGCTGCACTTCCCGCTGGTCAACGCCTCCTTCAAGGACCACTCAGCCCCTGGTAAGGCGTCCCCTCCCCTCCTAACAGCCTGGCAGCTTGGACCTTCAGAGGCACTGGCTGCACCCTTCCCAGAGCTCCTGTGGCCAGCAGAGGGAAGAGGTCCGCAGGCTAGTCCCACCCCATTGGGACACATCCGTTGGGGATGCCACATCCCTGCAGGGACTCTCTGCTGGCAGAGTCACTGTGCTGCTGGCCCAGGTCAGGACCCCAGGCTCCTTTGCCACCCCCCACCCCCTGCCGATCCCCTGCCCGCACACCCCAACTCCACCCGGGCTCCTCTGCTCTCCTGTTCTGGGGTGGTGTGTGGGAACCCTGTATCCAGAGGCCCTCCTGCGTTGTGTCCTGTCTATAGACATTTCTACCCCTGCCCGGGCACCGTGTGGTTGGAGGGCTAGACAGCCAGGGCAGAGTGGCCCCAGGCCCCTGGCTCTCAGGTTCTCCTGAAGCTACCTGGGATTGCAGTTGGCTTTTACCTTTCCACCCTGGCCCAGCTTGTGGTCTTTTCTCAGGAAGCTGGGCCTCTACTCTGTAAACCATCATCACATGCATTCCAATCCTTACCTCCCGCCAACTGCTCAGGCCCTTTTGGTGGGAAAGCCTATTTTCTGTTTTTGTATGTGATTCCTGGCTTTCTGGTTCCCACTCTAATTCCAAACCTTCCAGCTTTACCCTTAACAAGCTCAGCCCACATCTTGGAATTCTCTGTCTCTATCTCTGTCTCTCTCTTTTGACCAAAACTGGTTCTTACAAAACAAAGATCCCTTTGGCTTTCAAACTCGTGTTTCCATCATGAGATTTCAGAAATCTTCACTAGCCTGAATGATTTTGTTGTCCAGCTGTTTCTACCTTGTCCCTGAAGGTGATACAGAGAGAGATCATGGGGTCGCCCACGTAGTGGAAGTGCATCTGCTACAGGGAAGTGTGGGGAGCAGCCAACCCTTCATATCTCCGAACAGTACCCTGCTATCCACATTTATATTTCTAGGCAAAGGAACAGAGGGCTGGGTGGTGGGGAGTGAGGAGCCCCTTCAGGGAGGAGCAGCCCAACCCCACGACCAGCCACGAGGCTTCCTTCTACTCAGCTCAGGGAGCCTCTGGGTCCTACCCCTCACCCCTCTCACCCTTGGGCAGGTGTCCAGCGCAGCCCTGCAGAGCTCCCAGCCAGCCAGGTGGATCTCACTGGGACCACCTCACCCTACTACCTGTTCAACATGACCTATAAGGAGGAGGACTTTGATCATCTACTGCAGCTTAGTGACTACAATGTACGGAACAGCCAGGGCGCCATTCTGCAGGCCTTGAGGACTGCCATGGAGCACCGGGCCCTGGGCACCAGGCCTCCAACAGCGAGGAATTGAGGCTGCTCAGGGACCCCAGCGCTTTGATGACCCTCCAGGGGCTAGGGCCTTAACCCAAGCACAGCTGGGTACAGCCACAGCCCTCACTGGGCTGGAGTTCCCGGGCTGTCCAGGCCTTGGCCTCTTCTGCAGTGGGTCTCACGGCCCAGACGGGCTGCTTGGTACCCCAAGTTCTCCCTTACTTTCATCACTGGCTTGGGAGGAGCTGAAAGTAACTCCTCACCAGATCAGTGTGTAGAATATCTGGTCCGACCAGACAAATGTTTACATGTGATTACTTTCCTGCCAGGCAAAACAGATTTGGGGTACAAGCTGCAGGTGTCAGACCAGGAGTGGGGGCAGGCAGGGCAGGGCATGGCCTGACCGAGAGGTGGCTCCAGACATCAGGCATCATCATGCTGTGTCCTGAGAATCTCCTCTTCATCCCCTCCTCCTCTCCTCGCTCTTCTATTATCTTTAAGCAACTTTAGTGACGTGTAATCCACATACCACATAATTTGTCCATCTATAGAGTACAACTCGATTGCTTTTACTATGTATTCACAGAGTTGTGCAAACCTCCCCACGGTCATTTTGAGATTTTCATCACCCCAAAAAGAAACCCTTCACCCCTTAGCTGTCAACCTCAACCCTCCCTCCCGAGCCCTAAGCAATGACTAATCTACCTTCTGTTTCTATAGATTTGCTTATTGTGGACATTTCCTATAAATGGAATTATACAAACATACAGCCTTTTGTGTCTGGCTTCCTTCTCTCAGCATGATGTGTTCAAGGATCATCCATGTGGTAGCAAGCATCAGTACTTCATCCTTTCTATGCCTGAATAAAATTCAGTTGTGGATGGCCCACATTTTACCTTATGGTCATTGGGTTGTTTCCATTCTTTGTTACAAATAGTGTGGCTATGAACATTCACGTACAAGTCTGTATGTGGACAATGTTTTTTGTCCTTTTGCACGTCTACCTAGGAGTGCACTTGCTGGGTTATAATAATTCTCTGCTTCTCCTTTTGAGAACCTGCCAACCTGTTTTCCAAAGCTGCTGCTCCACTCTCCATTCCTGTCGGCATTGCAGGAGGGCTCCAATTTCTCCATGTCTTTGCCCACATTTGTTATTGTCTGTCTTTTGATTTTAATCATCGGAGTGGGTATAAAGTGATATCTTATCTGCATTTCCCTAGTGGCTAATGATGTTAGGGATCTTTTCACATATGGTAGGCCTTTTATAGATCTTCTTTAGGGAAATGTCTATTCAGATCTTTCGCCCATTTTCATTGGGTTATGTCTTTTTCTTATTGTTAAGAATGCTCTATATTTTCTACATACAAATCCCTGATCCAATATACGACTAGCAGTTTTTCTCCTAATCTGTGGGTTGCACAAAAGCTTTCTTATTTTGATGGTGCCATTTATATTTTCTTTTGCTACTTGTGTTTTTGGTGTCATATTTAAAAAAACATTGTCTAATCCAAGGTCATGAAGATTTACAACTGTTCTCGTTTAATAGTTTTATAGCTTCAGCCCTTACATTTAGATCTTTGATCCATTTTGAGTTGACTCTTGTATACAGTGTGAGATACGGGGTCAATTTCATTCTTTTGCATGTGGGTATCCAGCTCTTCTAGCACCATTTGTTGAAAAGGCTGTTCTTTCTCCATTGAATTATCTTGACGCCCTCACTGAAAATCAATTGCCTGTGGTTGGGAGGGTGTATATCTGGACTTATTTGATTGATCTATTTGTCTATCCTTATGTTATACCACACTGTTTTGATTACTATGGTTTGTAGTCAATTTGGAATTCAGAAATTGTGAGCCTTCCAGATTTGTTGGTGGGCAAGAACAAGGGATAAGCAACTTGTGCAAGATCACTAAACTCAAGAGTGGCAAAGTCAGGACTGGAACTGGAGGCTTTAAAATCAAGCCAGACTTGGGGCGCTTGGGTAGCTTAGTCGCTCAGTCCCAAGTCCCCATACTTGGGATACTTGGGCTCAAGTCATGATCTGGGTTCCTGGGATCAGGTTCCCCACTCAGTGGGATGTCTGCTTCCGTTCTGCCTCACTCTGCCCATCACCTTGCTTTTCCTCTCTGTTTCCCTCCATCTCTCTGTCTCTCTCAAATGAATAGATAAAATCTAAAACAATTTTAAAATATTTTTTTACATCTAGCCAGGCTTCTAGCTGTCACACCACACTGTATCTTTGGGGACTTACTTTATAGCATGCCCTATTATACAATGAAGAATTAACCTTACCTAAAGAGAGGTCTGGCCTTTGCTCTGGACTACCGAGGAGTGATCTCTGTGCCCCTCGAATGGCGTGCCTGACAGGAGTGTCCATTTGCCTGGGGCTCTGGCCACTGGACAACCTCACAATGTGATTTGCAATGGGAACTCTGGAACAGTCTGTATCAGCTCCCACCTCCAGGTGAACTAGAACTAAAGCCATGAGCCTGACATCCCAGAAGGATTGTAGACCCACAGTTCAGCCACATGGGCAATATGTGATTGAGCCCCAATAAAAACCCTGGACACCAAAGGCCCAGGAGAATTTCCCTGATTGGTAATATTCTGTGGATGTTGTTGCACACCGTGGCTGGATGGGGGCAACACTGCCCATGACTCTAAGGGGTGAGAATGACTAGAAGCTCCCCGTTTAGACCCTCCTGGACACAGCCATGTGCATCTCTGTATCCTTTCATTATAAATTTTCATCAGTAATCCTAAGTACAGAGCTTTCCTAAATTCTGTGAGTTATTCTGGCCAATTATCAAATCTGAGGTCCTGGGGGACCCCAGAAATGGCAGCCAGCTGGCCTGAAGAGAGGGTCGTCCTGGGAACCCTGAAGGTGTGGCTGATGTCTGAAGCCAGGGCCCTATTGTTTAGGGGCTGTCCCCCCAGGCGGTAGTTTGATAAACAACTTGTAAGCAGGGTCAGAAGTCCTGGGCAGACTTGGCAGTGTGAAGGGACTCTGCCCTCAACTTTGCAGTTTGGCTGATTCAGGGCCCCTCTGAAGTGAGAAGGGCACAAGTAGAAAAAAACAAAGATGTGTTCCATTTATGACTTTCCCTAAAGCCAGAGAGAGGGCCGAGGAGTTCCATGCAGCCCCAGAGTGGGCAGGGCTGAGGCTCAGGGCCACACCTGGTGCATGACCCCAACCCCTTGACTAGCCAGCCACTGATCCGCAGGTTCCCTGACAACCTGAGGTCTCATCCTAGTCTGAATGGGGACTGCAACTCAGGCAGCTGTTAGGCCCACCTGGGCTCCACAGAGATTGTGCAAGGCTTTTCCTGCAGCCTGTGGCCCCCTCCTAAACCCGGCCCAAAGCATGCCTGAGGGGCAGGAAGGCCCTCCAACTCCCTCATCACTGCTCCTGGGCCTGTGCTGGCAATCTGCTCTGTTCAACACAGGTGGTGGCAGTGGGAACAGCAAAGAATGAATTGAAAGATATTTCATTTTCCTGTCAACTTTTACTTAACAATGTGTAGACCAAATGAGAATAATAATGTAAAAGTAACTGCTTGTTAAAATTCAACATAAACTCAAGATTTATGAAAAGTTCTTCATAAATTAGAGATGGAAGCACATTTACTTAACCTGATAAATGGTATCTGATGGTTAATTGTGTCAACTTGGCTGAGTCACAATGCCCGGATATTTGGTCAAACAGTATTCTAGACGTTTCTGTGAAGGTTGTTTTTGGATGAGATTAACATTTAACGGTGACTTTGAGTATAACAGATTACTCTCTACAATATGGATGGGTCTCGTCTAATCAGTCGAAGGCCTTGATAGGACAATGACTGACCTCCCCTAGCAAGAGGGAATTCTTCCAGCAGACTGCATTGAAACTCTTGGACACCTTGAAACTCTTCCCTGAGTTGCCAGCCTGTCAGCCTTCCCTGCAGATTTTGGATTCACAAAGACGCCATGACTATATGAGGCAATTCCTCACAGTAAATCAATCAATATCTGTCTCCCTCTCTGCCCTCCTCTTCCCCCCATATATATTTATATACGTATCACCTGTTGGTTCTGTTTCTCTGAATAATGCTAATACAGTATCTATTAGAAAAAGAAAAAATGCCTTGTCATTCTGAATTGTGAAATCTTAGACTCATTTCCTTACAGTTCAGGAACAAAATCAGGATGCCTGCTATCTCCATTTCTTGGTAACCATTTCCTGAAGCTCATTCTGTTTCTGTTGAGCTGGGAATCCAGGCATGATGTAGCTGGGCCCCTGCAGTCAAGGTGTCAGCTGGGCCATCACTATCACTGGTATCAGCTCAAGGCTCAGCTGGGGAAGACTCTGCCTCCCAGCAACACATGTGGCTGCTGGCTGGACTCAGGTCTCCATGAGCTATTGGCCTGAGGCCACCCCCAGTTTCCTTTTACTAGGTCTGTCCACAGGGCAGGGCCCAACATGTCAGCTGGCTTCATCAATGTGAGCAAGCAAGGAGAACCACAGAGAAGCCTGAGGGACATTCTAGAGAAAGAAAGTGACCAAACTTTACAACAGACCAGATTCAGGGACGTAAGGCCAGTAAAGATCTACAGAAGAGGCTGACGGAATTTGTAGCCTGAAAGAATGGTGGTGATGAGCATGATGAGGTGCTATCTAAAGACTTCTGGCCTTGTGGTGGGCTTGGTTTGAGAAATTGTTGTGTGGCAAGCTACTTCCGAAATCATATTGTCTGCCAGAGGAATGTGCTTAGAACCACAGTCTGGCATTTTTGAACGTTCAACTTGGGAAATGCTCTGGAAGACTGGAGCAACAAATGCTAACACAAAGTTCTAAAGAGGTCAGGCCCAGCTGTGGGTTTATTTGTTTATTTATTTATTTTTTAAGTAGGCTCCACACCCAACATAGAGCTTGAAATCATGACACTAAGACCAAGAGTTGCATACTCTACCAACTGAGCCAACAAGACACCCCACCAGCTGTGGTTTTAAATGGCCCAAGAGTAGCAAGGAGTCACAATGACAAGGCAGCCAGAGCCCACAGAGAGTCCATAGGCCTCTGTCATCAATCATCACTATCACCCACAGATAAAAGAAAGTAACACCTGATGATGTGATTTAAAAAAAAAAAAAAAGCCTCTCATCGAACTACTATCTCAACCCAATAGCCCTTGGACTCTCTCTCTTTATGGCTAAGGATGTCCACCAACAATAAAATGGATAAATAAATCTGGGTGTCATCATGCAATGGAATGCTATGCAGCTATAAAAATGAGCACTGTGCCTTTACACACAGCAATATGGATGGATTTCATCAACATCATGTTGAGTGTAAGAAGCCAGGCATAAAAGAAGAATACTGAATGACTGCATTTATATAAAGTTCCAAAATAGATGAGATGAATTATGTTATTAGAAATCAGATTACTGGGATGCCTGGATGGCTCAGTAGTTGAGTGTCTGCCCTTCAGCTCAGGGCATGATCCCAGGGTCCTGGAGCCTTCTTTCCCTCTGCCTGTGCCTCTGCCTTTCTCTGTGTCTTTCAGGAATAAATAAATAAATCTTAAAAAGAAAAAAAGAAATCAAGTTACTATGTACCTTTGGAGTTCAGGAGAGCAGTGCATAAGGAGGGTCTCAAGGATACTGGTAATGTTCTGTCTCTTGCTCAGAATACCGATTCTGGGGCAGCCCAGGTGGGGCAGCGGTTTAGCGCTGCCTTCAGCCCAGGGCGTGATCCTGGAGACCCGGACATTGAGTCCTGTGTCGGG